TTTTATATAAATATTTCATAAATCACCGAAAAGTCCCGAAATGCACTATAATGCAATATTATGTACTAAAACATGCTGCCAAGTGAATATTTTGTGTTTAAAAGTCCAAAAAGTATTTTATATGAATTTATATGAAACATGCAGAAACATGCAGATAAAACTTTAGCATTTTGATGAAAAAAAAAAAAAATTAGCATTTTGATGAAAACGTCCCCAAACACATTTTCAAAAGAATTCTCAAAAGGTTCTAATTTGATGAGAAACATGCAGAAAATATGGTATTTTGGAACATCAGACCAAAAGGACATGCAAAATAAAGAATTTTTTTCTATAAAATTTCTTAAAGTGCTCTAATTTGATGAGAAACATGAAGAAAATGGAAATACTATGGTTATAGTTATAGTATTTTACTGCGATCAGTGGTTGACAAACTGAAAAAAATATTTTTCTTTAATTTCTTTTATTTTTATTTAAGTTTATCTCATTCTGGAATTCTTCAAAAATACCAGTTTCTCAAAAATGAATGCATGTGTAGTAAGAACACTGCACAAATGCTTAGTTAATATTACATATATAAACCACTGCTTTACAGTGCAAGTCTTTATGAGATATCTAGTATCCTTGTGTAAATACCCCATTATCCGCTTCCAAGGTTACAGAACAAACCTGCACTGAGGTTGTTCAATTGATACACACCTAACCGGTGAAATATTCCACTCCACTGTGGACCAGGCACAGGGCTTCATCATAATGTCCTTGGTGAGACCTCAGCAATGTCACCCTGTGGAACAGAGAGACAGGGGGTATATATCAGAGGTAGCTTCAGCACACCGGGGTCTGACGCTACATCCCCATGGGAGAGCCGTGACAGCGTTTTTCAGAAAACCTCTGACTCAAGGAGTCCAAATGATAAAGTTATAATCGCAATGGAAATGGTGATAGTGTGGGAGATGCCCTAGTGTGACACCGCCACAGTGAGAAAGATGATCTATCTTTGACCCTCACAGGTGGCTGGTTAACTGTATAACAGCAGGATGGTATTTTTATTCCAGGTGCAGGCACTGCAGCTGAGCAGCAGATGAAAAATTTTGATATGTTCTATGCTGAAAAAAACAAACAATTTATATATATATATATATATACATACATACATACATACATACGTACACATATATATACAAAGTATGCTTGGTCAAAAGTTTACACACAGATGTTATTGTCAACACAAATCTTTAATCATTTTTCATTTATTTTTATTAAGTGAAAATATGAAATTGTTTACTTTTTTCACTTTTCACTAAGGTTCTCTGAGAGTTAATTTTTTAAAACAAACTTTGTGCTTAGTTTAAGAACATGCTCATTAGAACATTAGGCACTCTACATTGACATTAGGTGTGAATGTGAACCTGTATGGTTGGTTGTTGCTGTCCCTGTTCTCTCCCAGCGATGGACTGACGAACTGTCCTGGGTGTTCCCTGCCCCCCGCGTTCACAGCTGGGATTGTCTCCAGCTCCTCCGTGCCTCTGCAAAGGATTTAATGTTAGATAATGGATGGATAGATGTAGTTTTTGCGTTTTATCCTCTTATTCTTAAATGACCAATTTGTCCTTCCTTTACCTTTAAAAACAGGAGCAGTGTTAGCTTTCAATCACCTTGGCAGCCCGTGCATTTGTTTGATTGAACCTCCACCCATTTTTAAATGTTTGATTCCAACATTTATTATTATTATACATATATGTACATTGCGAAACATTGGAAGAATGAGTTTACCCATTAGAGCTGCTGGTGAGTTTTCAGTCTTTCAGACAAGGTTATGAATGGAAAGGATAAAAATGACAGAATATAAAACACTGTTTAATTTCTGATTGATTGCCAAATGTGGTATTTTACAATTTTGAGGGGGAGTAATGAATAGCCATTACAGCTTCTCAGTAACTTTGCAGTCATGGTGTTATCTAACAGTTAAAATGTCCTTTATCATATATAAGTATAGACCTACAGCAAATAGTACATATATTTTAATCTTTGATTTCTAACAGAAGGTAATTTTGCTTTTGTTTTGAAAATGTTTTTGAAAAAACATTTAACTTTTTTTTTTGTTTTCCACTCCCTCTACCAATGTTTGCAGGACCTGTGAGCAGCATGTTAGTCAACCGCTTTGGAAGCCGTCCAATGGTAATACTAGGGGGACTGCTGTGTGGAGTCTCTATGGTGGCCGCTTCATTTGGGAACTCCATTGTCTACATTTACTTTTTCATCGGCATCATTGGAGGTACAGTGCATGAACACTAATTTCAAATATTGTTCCTTTAGCCACACTGTGTAATAATATAGTGAAACTATGCTAACCCAGCTCAGTTGAGTCTCCGGAGTGAAAAAAAAAATGTCTACGTCAAAATCAGCATCAACAGAGCAAGTCCTAGTCAAAACAAAAACCAAGGTCACTGAGAGTAATCAGGTCAAGACTGCAGCAAGAGGTAACAGACCTAAGATAAGTGCAAGTGTTTTAGAAATAGATGTCAAAATGATTTTGGGGGGAGGTTTAGTATTAGACTAATGGCTGTTTTTTCCTCCCTCCAACAACCTTTTGCTAAGCTGATCAGGATCAGGCTTTGGGGAAATAGTTGTTGCTTGCATTTTATTACATTGCAAGCATTGCTTACTTACATTGTATTTATTAAAATAAACAGATGTTAGAAAAATGTTTTGTTCTAAATTCAGTTTTCTGTTATCAGAGAATTAAATGCCTGATTTGTTAAATATGACCCAGTTCAGATCCAACAACTCAGACTACCATCTCAGGTTAACTATAGTGTTACACTGGGACTTAGATAATGCACTGAAGACTGTGTAAATAAATAGGCATCGATTCTACTCGGGCCAAAAACAGAACCTTGTTAAGCATCTCTTGTTAATTCTCTCTCTAAGTTCAGAGTTTCACTTTGATGTTCCTTCCTTGTTATTCGGGAATTAAAACATGTTAGTATTCAGATATATTTAGGTAGGTTGATGGATGGATGGATAGACATACAGACAGATGGATGGTTGTGTATATACGCACTTCAAAATCTTTTGGTGCCTGTACTGGGTTACATCCATCCATTCCCCTGACCCTCAGTAATTGCCTCAAAGGGTTGAAAGGTTGTTGTGAGACTGAGTCAACTCTGTGGGTTTCCAATCTAAATCAGCCTAATGGGACTGCCTGGCTGTTATCATGAGGGCCCAGGCCATTGGCCCGGGGCATCTGTCCTTCTGCTGTGGTGTTTTCGGGGCACTGAGTGAAACAAAAACAGGACAGTAATTAAGACAGCGCTTGCACGTATTGCGGAGAGCACGGTCTTCCATGGCTCTCTGCAGTCTCCCATAGGCTACCATTGTAGTTGTCACAAGGGGCACCGCTGTCACCCTGAGAGGCTCATTACCCTGCCCGCACCGACCACTGTGAAGGATTTATAGCCTCATCGGGTGGCTGGTCCATGTGCCTTGCCCAGGAGCATTTGAGAGCCCAGCGCTGCTCACACATGTGCCCTGGCTCATTGACACAAATGCATCAGACAGTGTGTTTTAAGTAGCAGGCACACATTCAAAGTGACAATGAAAGACTTCACAGAAACACAGAATAGCTCTCACTTAGTGATTGTCTGTGTGCACATGAAGGAGAGGGAGAGAGACGACTCGTCAAGGTCAGGCTTGTTGTCATTGCACAAGGTTGCAGAAAAGCATTTGTGGCTCAATGTGAGGAACAGAGGCCAGGAAAACGTCTATTATTTACCAGGAATCGAACCATAGTCTTTGCTCTAAGGAAAGAAAGCTAACCGAACCACGTGGTGCTAAACTCTAAGACACACATTCACACACGCCTTTCCATGTTTGAAAATGTCATAATGAACTGTTTTTAAATTGTTTTTCACTTTTCACTCTGTACATACACAGGTAGTGGACTGTGCTTGAACCTGAACGCCTCTCTGACCATCATCAGCAAGTACTTCCTGGACAGGCGTCCTTTAGCCAATGGTTTGGCCATGGCAGGGAGTCCAGTGTTTCTGTGCATCGTTGCTCCCCTGAACCAGTATTTGCTTGATAAGTTCGGCTGGAGAGGAAGTCTGCTCATTCTCGGGGGTCTGATGCTAAACTGCTGCGTCGCCGGTGCTCTAATGCGACCTGTCACTTTAGCGTGTAAGAGATCTTCCAAAGTATCGCTCAAGATGGTCGAAGAACAGCAAAATACGAACAACACTAAACCAGAAGGTGGCTGCATGAAGAATGCAAAGGCATTCATAAATCTGTCTTTCTTCAAGGAAAAGGGCTTTGTCTTTTACCTCATTGGAAACATGATGTTTATTTTTGGAGCCTACGCGCCTATCGTGTTTCTGCCGGCCTACGCCATCAGTAAAGGTGTGGAGGACTACTCTGCAGCATACCTGCTCTCTATTATGGGCTTCGTGGACATGTTTGTTCGTCCTGGCACTGGCCTGCTGGCCAACAGCCGGTGGATCAGGCCCAGAATCCAGTACTTCTTCAGCTTTGCTATGGTTTTCAATGGTGCCTGCCACTTGGTCTGCCCGCTGCTGGACAGTTACGCCCTCCTGGTGGCTTATGCAGTGTTTTTCGGTGTTGGATTTGGTATGGTTTTTGCACTGATATTTGAGTGCTTAATGGACCTGATGGGAAGTAAGTGCTTCCCCAGCGCCGTTGGACTTGTCACCATTATCGAGTGCTTCCCCATGCTGCTGGGACCTCCAACTGCAGGTAATTACTTTATCAATTATTCACTCTTTATTTGTATAGCTTATAGCTATGTGTGTTATATGTTACATTTAATAGGATTTGATAGATAGATGGGTTGGTAGGTAGGTTTAACTCTGTCAATCCCTTAGGAGTTCCATAAGGAAATTTAAGGTAATAATAATATGTCCTAATATGATGGGTACGATATAAGGTTTTGTTCCACCTACCGATTCTACAGGTGCATTTGCTTGATGACGTATTTGGGATGTGACATCACACACATACTCTGTCATTTACAATTGACGCACCACCTGCTGCACAGTGATGGTGCTGGTTAGTCCTGCTACAGTGTTTGCAACTCACTGTACTTTGTCATAAATATCTCAGGTCTGATCTCATAAGCCCTGTACCTGTAAGTGCATTTTGTCAGCTCATTTTATTGTAGCTGCTTGTCCTCTGTGTGGTGTGAATAAACAATTGTGATAAGTTGTTTGTGGACTAAAGTTGTAGATGGAGCGTCCCGCCTCCAATCCCTCTTTTGTCAACACAAAGTTTTTATTCTAATTATACATGTTGGGCTGACATATGCTGACTGCCACCAATCAATGAGTCAACTTTAAAGTTCTCTTAGAGCAGTTGTGTTTGTTCTCTCAGACAGATACTCTGAGGAGGCTGTGCAGCCGCCGTTGACTTGATTAGCTGTGTATATTGTCCCAGTGACAAACTCTCCCTCTAACCTGAGTTTTAATGAGATGAAAATTTATAGTTCTCACTTTGCTCTGTTGCAAGTTCGTTCCGAGACAGAGATTTAATAGGATAAATGAATTCCTCCTTCCCTGCATGTCTAGCAGTCCTCCTCCAGGGGGCACATTGTTATTTCCCCCTTCTGAAGACAGGTTGTTACTGCTGCTGCAAAAACCTGTGGGTCAGTCCAATTAGGACAAAGAGTGGTAAGTGGGTGTAGATGGCCATGTGCTTTCAGTATTTAATGATCCGCAATTCAAAATCTCATCATAATAGTCCTGGTACCTGGGCCATAATTAAAGCTGTGACTACATTAATGTGGAGGAGTTGGGTGTAAGAGGTGAGGAAGGGGAGGGGGAGGGTGGGGGTGGTTACAAAGAAAAAAATAGACTAAATTACCAGCCAGGCCAATCAAGGCTGACTTTAATGAGGGTGATGTCACGGCTCTGATGCGCCAGATGAGGGCTATCAATCAGATAATGAAGCTGTGACGGAGATGTTTGGAACAGAGCCACATTAAAACTGACTCTTGCTTCTCTGAGACTGGGAGCACAAAATATTAAAGCTGTTACATGTTGAAGGTAAAATATAACAGCCTGATGGAAGCAGTTACTAGTGGTAAATAGACCAGGTGGGATTAATGCAACATAAAGGATGGATAGTGTTTATTGGAGGCTGACCCATACCCCGTGAATTGAAACACTATTGAGAACCTGATAACATATAGTTGTGGCGCTTTGGCCCAGAGGCAATGTCTCTGTCATTGGTGTGGAATCCCAGGGTTCACCTCCTGGGCAAGTTCGAATCCCGGTCAGGGCGGTTGGTACCTTCCAGTGGACTCACCACCTGCAGGAAGGTTTGGGGGGTGTTGGTAAGGTGCAGTGTGATTTGGGTGGCGGTCATGGAGACTGCTGCCCCCGCGACCCGGTAACGGATAAGCGGATGAAAATGGATGGATGGATAACGTATAGTTTTACCTGTACAAACCACTGCACGAGTTGCTGCCACCTAGTGACTGGAGGCTTGTTATCATTCAAACGTTACAGCAGTGGTACACTTATGTCCAGCGTGCCTTGTTCTATTTGAAGCCCCTGACACCCCACTTGGCACCTCGCCGTGCCCCGCCCCCCGGCAGCAGAACCTACAGTACAGACCAAATAATTAAACTTGTGGTAAATTGTACTTTGTTTTGTAAAAAAAAAAAAAAAAGTGAGAATCGTGGCACAATTTCCTTTGAGGTCACAACTGATGTAAATCTGTACTGTATGGCAATTATAGCTTGTTTGTTGTTACGTTGTGTTTTACTGGTGATATTTGTGAATAATTGATTGTTCTGGTGTGGTAAGAGTGGTAAAAATCATCATTTGCAGTTGTCTCACTTATGTAATGTGCCTTTAAATTGTCTTGTCTACAACAGCCTCACTGTCCTACCATGCATTCGTCTGTGGACAGATTATTCTCATACACATTAGACACAGCTGACACTGTATCTCTATATGTCTATTTATAACCTCGCCCCCTTCTGAAAGGCTCTTGGAATCATGAATCTCATCTGAAGTGTGTGTTTTTGTGCTCATGCCTCAGAGAATGACCTGTCTTCTGATTCGTTATGGCCACAGCTGTCCAAATGAGCTTTTCAGAGAGGCAGTGAGAGCTGCGCTGTGTATTGATGTCTGAATCTGAATGTCCCTGTGTTTCACATAATACAGATCCACATTTTCTCAAATCAAGTTTCTATTCTGCCATGTCATATATTTACCTCATCACTTCCTAATTTGGTATGCACTTCTCTGTCCTTTCGTCCCTCAGGGTTACTGGTGGACATCTCTCATGACTACAAGTACCTCTTCTTCATGTGTGGATCAGTGATCACCGCGGGTGGACTCTTCCTCTTTGTGACAAACATCTACTACTACCATACCCTGGACAACAAGAGGAAACAAAAGGACAATGAACAGATGAGTAAAAGTTCTGAGAACCAGGAGAGATTAAGCTTCATGGAGGGTGAAATAAAACTCACTACTGAATCAGAAATTGAACCAAGGAAGCCTGAGACCAAAGAAGAGACGGAACATCTAGCTGCAAATAACACAGGGACTCTGGAATAATTGTTGTCCATTTTTCTTGTTAGTATATTACAGCAAAGTATCACGGCAAAAGACCCCAGTAGTAAGGCAATGATGTATTTACAGTACACTACAAATAATTCAAATAATTTGTTGAAAAATACAAAAAAATGATGCACACAATTTTCAGGCAAGGATACTCTACTCTTTCACAAATTCATACAAACAAACACTTTCTGGTGTGCACCAATTTTAACCTCAGTCGCTGTGATCAAACTTGGTGACTACAAAACTGTGGCCTACAAATGCAGCCTAGTGCTGCCTGCCTTGGAGGACCATAAAGGCTTCTTTCCATTTAACCCTTCTGTGCAGCGCCTCAGAGTTTTGCTGCTTCCTCGAACAAGAAGCGGATATCTTCCAATCGCACACAACAATCCTTTAACAAGTAGGCCATGGGTTGCCCAAAAACAATTAGCAGTTAAAGTTTCCACCTTCCATACCTGCATGTGCAGAGGACTGTGGGTGACGATCCACTCTTCAATCTTATCATTTCTGTGTGGGAAGTTCTCAGACTTTGGCTGGAATTCAAGAATTCTGCACATTGAATTAGCAGCGGCCAGTGATGTAACATCCTTGAAATTCCGTTGTCTCTGTATTTTCCCTGACTTTGAGAATCGGCTGCAGTGTACTAATGGTTTGGTTTCACCTTGTTAACACAGTCTAGTTAAGATGAAACGGGACCAAAACCTCTTTCAATTCATCACTCTCTTTTGAGGGTTCTATTCCGTCCGTACCCTCAGGTGAGCTTGACCTCTGCTGTTACAGCAACTTTTAATCCTTCTCCTTTTTTAAACACCATTTTCCAAGTGCTGCAGCTACAGCCCGTGCCTCAGTGTTTTAGCAGTCTACTGTATGTAGCCATTTCTAATGGATACACCTTGAAACGATTGTAGTTTTTGTTTGGTGGTTTCTTGTAGGCTGAATACAATGATTCATTAATTTAACAACAATGAGAATATGACTGGAGAGTATCTCACAGGTGAGGTGTGAATGTTACACAGGCAGCTTCTTTATCCAAACACTGTGAACTGTTAAACTGTGATAATAAATCTAAAGGTTTTTACGTAAAATGTCATATTTATGACATGTTCTACCCTTTACGTGGCTCTATCTGTAGCTCATTAACGGTTTTTGCTTTTATGCTCCTCTTCCTCCCCACATTTATCTATACAATAACAGCTGACTTCTACTTTTGTCTGCTTTTTTAGTGACATCTTATCGTTGATTTGATTTTTTTTGAAAGTCTGTTACCAGTTTTCCAATAACGTATCGTAGGTTGACTAATATAGTGTTGTGTGATTTAATTTTATAATTGTAGCTGCTTATTTAAAGAAATTATGCACAATATTGCAATAGTAATTTTGAAGTAACTGTAAGGTAGAAGTAGTAAATACAGTACAACATAAATAAATGTAAAAAAAAATGTGCACAAATATTTCACGTTATTTAAATTATTATTAAAAATATTAACTTGTGTTTTTTTTTTTGGGGGGGGGGACTGACCCTCCAATATGTTGACAGCTTCACCTTTAATGTTAGAAATTGCACATTTCTTTGTACTGAGCCCAGGGGGTGGAGGGGGGCTGCCCTGATGGCTCGGTTTGTCATTGCTGTTCTGTGTAAATGTTCGCTTGCACTCAAGTAGTTATAGAAGTAAAAATGAGAAAATGTACCTGGCTATTTTGTGCTACTGCAACCTGAACAAGGTTTTTTGCTTAGGTGATATTATTTTATGTGTTACTGCTGTTTGTTGCCCAAACAACTGAAAATAAACATTGAGTTTTTGGAACTGCACATTAATCTCTGAGGACTTTTTGTCATGTGAAAAGTTAAACAATTGCAAATATATATATGTATACATACAGTATACTGTATATACTGTAGATATATGTATATATACACATAGATACATATATGCAGTGTATATATATACTGTATACACACATATATTATATATACGTATACAGTAGTATACGTTAAAGCCATATGCAGTAAAATTGCCAAACTACTTCTAATAGTATACTATTACTAATTTATAACAACCTACAGTACAGAATGTAAAATGATACAGAAAGCAAAACAATAACCATTTTTGCCTCCAATCTCAAACACAAAACTAAGCTCCAACGGACCAAGCTAAAGCAAAATGAAAGCCTAAATGAAACAAAGACAAAAAATTATGAATTTAAAAATAAAATGTCAAACAACTTGGACAAATCCTACCCTTGGAAGCCATAGCTTAAAATCCTGTATAAAAACGTAAATTTCCAACTGTGTTTATATCTATATTTAATACAACTACAGGGTTTTGTCCGAGATCCGACCAACAAGGTTTCTGACACTCCAGCTCCAGAAATCCCAACACATCGAAATCTACTGCAGAACTTTTGTGGCCTAGTCCAATTTTTCATGACAATTAGAAGACAAGAGAAACAAGTTTGAAAATGCCAGCATGAGGGACACGAGCACCTAATGAAGCAGGGCCTAAATGTTCCACGCCAGTGCTCTGAGCTGCACGACAACTCACACACATCAGCAAACCTAATAAATTACAAATGCACCAGCAAACACGCACATTCACTTACAGTCACATGCTGTCCCTCAGCTTAGTAATATGCAAGGTCTTTGGCTACAACAAGGTGGAACGTTACCCCAGAGGCAGGATGATGGCTGCTGCGGTGAGAAATGTGTTTATCATTATTATATTTTTTCTCACCTCCTGTGCTCCTCTGGCCTGTTGACCCTCCTCTTTGGACCGCTCCCCCTGTCGTGTATGTCCCCGTGACTTTTGTCCTCCACATGCAAAGAAAAAGGATACTACCATCAGAGAGTCTCACAGGTAACTGGTTACTCGGCTAAGGCTATTTGAAAAATAGTTCTGCACCAGAAAATAAAAAAGAATTATGGATACCATGCCTTAGGCCCAATTCCTACTTTCCGGGTGCATGAGTCTGCAGAGGTCCACTGAGTTCTATGTGATGTAAATGTCCGGTCCACGACCCCTAGAGTGTGCACGAGTCCTTTATGGATGTCGCCCTTGATATCTGTAAACATACAATATGAACAATACATTACTTTTTTGTTTTAAGTCAATAGATAACCTATCCATACATTATTAAAATATTTGAAAAAATCAAAGGTTCATACATTTTTTTAAATTTAAAGACAAGTGAAAATTAGTCGTGAAATGACTTAAATAGATGGGAGTTTTTTGCCAGCTGTTTGCCTATTAAACAGCCGACAGATAGTTTTTTCTATCACAGTCCGAGTTTTTGGAATAATAAAATAAAATAGTTATTGATAAAATATCTGCGAGTGTATAAATACATGTATCCAATAGCTTAATGTTAAACATCTTCAAGTTAGTAAAAAATGTAGTTTAAATTATTTACGAAAATATTACTTCACGTCAGCTAGACTTTATTCAGTTATCACTAAGAATTTAAATAGGTAGTTCACAATGATAAAAAACTTGGCTAACAGTTAGTCATCGGCTAACAGATTTGCTAGCGTTAGCCAAAAGATAATTTGTTTCTCCAGAGACAAAACTGGCAAAACTGAAATAAAACTCTGAGGATAAAAATGACAGCATATCTGCACTGGCTAACCAGAAGTGACCGCTCTCAGTTAACTGTCTCTGCTTATTAAATGACTTTGTACAGGAGTGACTGTAATGGAGTTACACCCCTAATATAAGCAAACAGCCTGTTTGTGCGTGCTTAACATACTGCAGTGTTGAGTTAATCAGCAGCTACCTGTTACTGGAACGGTTCAAACAACACCTGGTACTTTCTGTATGGAGTTTCCAGGTACTTCCCACATATGAGTAGGGTTTGTTTTTTGTAAGTATTTGGATTTCAGTAAAAAAAAAATGCAGTTAGGTCAACTATTGTACTGTGTAGCTCTGCAATGGACTGGGTGTCCAGGGTGGATGCCAGCCTAACCCCAATGACTGCTGGGATTGGCTTCACCTCATCCTACGAAGCACGATGGACGGAGAGACTAAAAAATTCTTGGCTATAATTTTTTTAATGTTCATGAATGAAAAACGTCCATCATATAGTGCTATGCTACTTATTTTGAAACCAGAAACCGGAGTAATCAAATAACTTCCCACACACACTGGGAGAACATGCAAATCCCAAACAGAAATTACCATCAAGATTAAAGCAGCGATCTTCCCGTTTTAAGACAAGGTACTGGTCTTAGAGAAACATCACAGTGCAGTTCATTTCTCAGCTTGTAGTCTGGACTTCCAGAAATTAAAGCTGAATAATTAATCTTATAATCAGAGGTTAATGAGCTGTTGATGTGACAAATGTTCAGATGTGCTTTTCTCATGAACACAGTTCCACCATCTGATTAGTGTTGCAGACTGACCCTGCTGAAGTCATTACCACATGAGGTAATATCTGTTGCAAAACATCTTGTTGTGCAGTGTATTGTACGAGCGACTGGTTCTTGGATGTTGATTATCAGGCCTTCTCCTGACCTTTGGATCCGTGTGAGTCAGATTCTGGTTGTTTGCAGTAGGAGATGGGGGGTGCGGAGGCGCTATCGTGATGAATCTGCAGTGGTCTCACTCTAGCGACGAGTCTGGGACGAGTGGGAGAAACGAAATGTGCTCCCCCAGGGCTCAAAGAGCATTGGCATCTATCAGCAGAAGAAATTGAACGGGAGAAGCAGAGATTAGATAGGCCGACTGTTGGCGGAGTGGGATCAAACTTACAAAGCACACCAACATGAGGAAACACACACACACACACACACACACACTCTCATTCACTCACTCACTCTCTCTGTCTCTCTCCACCATGTGTCCCACTGTGGCCTTTGGATTTGAAAAGAGAATGTGTTGATTTGTTGTTTGCTCACAGAGTAAACTGATGACACAACACCAGGAGGAGAGCACTCTCCACATCAGCTGTGTCTCCACGACAGGCATCAGCAGTTCCTCACTGGAGGCACTGTATTAGCATGTGAGCAGAAGTTGATCACAGTGGGACAACAGTGTAAATGTCACTCGTGTTCACTGTGTCTCCACCGCTAATACCAACGATATTTGCTTTCCACAGAATTCCAGCTCTGCCTCTGTAGAACAGATGTCACAACCTGAGCTTGATTGGAATATAGAACGAACACTAAAACCTGTGTCGTTTCATCTGTCAAACACAGGTTTAGGTCCAGCACCAAACGACTTCTCACATTTATAGCCACAAAAACGATAAGTTTGCCAAAAAATATGTATTTGCCAAAACACATCTTAAATCTGAGGCAAATTTAGCAACAGTTAGCCCAGTACCTCTCAAATAGTGGGGTGGGTGGGGCGGGAGAGATAAGGTGCCACACATTCACAGCAGTTTCTTCAAATCTACACCTAACTTTATTTAAAAACACTATAATTCATAAAAGACTCAAATCACAAATCTGACTATATTTATTTTACTGTGACAAATTAAAATGCATTTACCTTGCTCTGCCTCTCCTGGCCCCTGTACAATAACCCAGCACACCTTTTGGGGCCCTTGCCCCCTATTTTGGGACCCAACTTGTTGATCGCACACAACCAAAAATAATAAATAACTATCCCTGTGACAACCTTTACCTTAGTCTGGAGTCAATGATAAAACAGTTCAGTTCGAGTGGAGAACCTTGATCCTCGATGAATCAAACATGAACCACAGGATGTCAGTCATTTATTTCTTTGTGTCCTTGCCTGGGTCATGCGGGACAAAATGCACGTTGGAATATTAAGGGGTGAAATTAATGAAGAGGGAAAGAAATAAAATGGACAAATTAAGTAACAAAGAGACTAAGAAGGTTGTAGGAAATAAAGAAGGAAGGGCCTTTTACGACTTGGGGGAAATGCTGGTGAGACCCTCTCCATCTATCATCCCTGCCTGCATCCTGTCCACGGAGCAGAGGAGGTAATGAAAGTAATTTAACGTACATCTATAATTAATATACTCTCTTTGGGTGGTGTGTTTGAGCCCAGTGGTTGATGGAGTGTGTTTATTATGTGTGTGAGGTGGAGCCGGCGTGTCGGGGCATCGGGCCACTGACACGGTAATTGACGAGCCATCATTCCTGCCGCGCTCAGGTCTGATTGTTACAGCTATATTTGGGACACCGTGGGCTCCGGGGCTCCCACAGGTACAGGTGGAAAAGTGGATTTTTGTTCTTTTTAGCCTCCTGTTGTTTCCTTTTCTTCACTCTGACGCTGCTGAAGAAAGGAGGTGCAGCATGTGGCCGAGCCTCAGGCCAATGTTCTTCCTTCCATGTGTCCTGCTCTCTGCCTCTTTTTCTCTTCCTGTCTTTCTTCTACACCCTAATCCCAAACCTCTCCACTCCCCGACTGTAAACTTCCCCCGTCTGTCTCACGTCTCTCCTGACTCTGGGTAAATCTAGCAAATGTGCTCTAGGATTTTTTCTTTCTCCTTTTTTTTTTAAATATTAAAAGGCAGGCTGCCTTTCACAAACACAGTTCAAACCCCACTGCCCTCAGTGCTCTCTCCTTTTGAAACTCCCCTGCTCTTTGAATCCCTGCCCTTTGAAGAAAACGCCCAGAGTCACTCAAACACTTTCACATTAAACAAGGGCATAATGAACGAACGCAGAAGTGTGTTTTAAAATTCCTGCATATACTCACACGGCACACATATATGCACACGTGTGTTTTGCACATCAAAACTCCAGCAGGGTTTTTGGAGTTTTCTTTTCCCCCATTGAATACATTTGCTCGTTAGTGTGTCCTTGCTGATGTCATAGGTAATTTGCCATTTCATGTGTAATAC